AAGCACCTCCATGCCCAGCAGTCCAAACTCTTTCTATAAAACTTGAAAGTGATGACTGTAAGTAGATTATTCCAAACACTAATAACTTTAAGATTTAATCACCTTCTAAGACTGAAAGTTTTTTTCCTATTAAAAAACTATTTTTCCCCCGGCAGCAACAATAGCTGACATGTCATTACAATGTGTCAAGCTCTGCCCTGGGTATGAAACATAATTACTCACTGAATTCCATTCAATTGTTCTATGAGCATGGGAAATTTTACCACTCCCATTTTAGGGATGAACAAATTTGACACTTTTACAAGTTCAATGATTAGCTCAAAGTTACACAGCTGCTAAGTGGCAGGGTCCAGGCTCAAGACAGATCTAGCTGACTCTTAAGCCCCTGCACTTTTTTGTTTCTTTTTGGTTATACATAACATTAGAATTCATTTTGACATAATTTAAAAGGCATGGAATATAATTTGCTCAAATTCAGTCCCCATTATATCCCCTTTCTCTCCCCTCTTCCCTCTCCTTGTTCCCTTTCCTCAACTCTACTGATCTTTCTGATATTTACTTCTAGACTTTTTTTCTTTTTTGTTAGTGTCTTATGGGTATAGATGATGGTGAGATTTACTGTGGCATATTCACAGTATACAAAAAGGTTAGATTAATTCATTCCTCTGTTCTTTTCTTATCTCATCTCTTCTTCCTCCCCCTCAGTCCCTTTCATTTAGTCCACTGGTCTTCCTTCTTTTTTGATGGAATTCTCCACCCCATTCCCTCTCCCCCACCCTTACTCCTTATTTTGTACTAGCCTCCACATATCAAAGAAAACATTCAACCTTTGGCTTTCTGAGTCTGGCTTATTTCACTTATGTGATACTTTCCAGTTCCATTCATTTACCAGCAAATGCCACAATTTCATCCTTTAGAATCCCCTGCTCTTAACCACTATCTTCAGCTAAAGTATAAACTCCCTTTCTACATGATGTCATTTACTTCATACTGGTTTCCTTTATTGAGAAAGGAAGACTTGAAACATGTAAAGTTCTCATTTTAATAGCATTTCAACATCTACTTAAAAAAGAAAACATAAAAGTTTAATTTCAAAATCTCCTGAAATGCCAATCCAACAATAAATTTTATGATGTCAATTTTTTGCCCCATATTTCATCCTTTTTTTTTTCCCTAAGCTCCACTGGCAAGGGCGGGGGGGCGTGGGGGAACAGTTGGAGAGGAAAAAAATCATTCCCAAAGCTTAAATTCCAAGTTTCTGTGCTTGGCAACTATAACTATACTGTGCTTTGGGACCTTAAAATTATAAGCACAGATCTCAGAGGAGAACATTTCCTTTATTAGCAATTGGCTTTGAAAATTCCATTCTAGGATGCTAAATATAACAATACCCCTCCTGACTTTTATAAACACATTCTTCAGATTATTTTGATACTAGTGATTTTCTATTTACAAGACAGCTTTGCCACAACAATTAAGCAACTGTAGCATTTTGAGGAATCTTTCAAACTTGTTCTAGCTCTTTTAAAGAAGTGACCTGAAAAATTGTTCTCTGGATTTTTCTATGAAATAAGAAAGTTCTGATTTCCCAATTCATTTCTCTAGAAAGACACCCTTATTTTGTTATTTCTAATGTCCTTGGATTATAACACAAGGATATTGGTAGGGTTTTTTTTCCAACTTATGAAACAGAACAAATGCAACTTTTAAAAACACTTTATACACTCAAAGTCAAATAAATGTACCCTTATTTTAAAATCCCATATGTGATAATTCAGAAATAATGATGGGGAGAGAAACTGTTTTGCTCTGGGTAATGGACTAGCTTTTCTTTCTTTCTTTCTTTCTTTCTTTCTTTCTTTCTTTCTTTCTTTCTTTCGTAATTGTAGATGGACAGAATACCTTTACTTTATTTGTTTATTTTTATGTGGTGCTGTGGATCAAACCCAGTACCTCACACATGCTAGGCAAGCACTCTTCCACTCAGCTATAGCCCCAGCACTACATCCGGCTTTTAACAGAAGGCATAACTGCTGCTGCTGCTGCATTTTAGAGAATGGTAAGCACCTAGTGGACCTCATGACCCATGCGTCCTTTCATTGTATAAGTAGTTCCAAGTACAGTTGTAATTATTAAGGCACCTTTAGCTGGACAGCTCCTGGAGTCCTCCCTACCTAAAACATGAATGTGAAAAATTAAGAATCAACTGGCACTTTATCTTTGGAGGATGGATCCAAGGAGTGGAGAGGGTAAAATTTTTGTTTCACCTCATAATCCCTGGACTGTTTTTGTTTTGCTTTACCATATCTTATTATTACAGTTAGCTTTTCAAAAATACAGCCTCACCAGCTATCATCCTTCTCCCTCTTCTCACACCTTCTTGGTCCACAGAATCCCTTTAACACCAAGCATGAGCTCATCCTTAAACAAGGGTTCAGCACCTTCAAACACTCACCAACATGAACATGAACACTCACCAACCAGGATGAGTACAGAGTTGTTTGGGACTAAACCAGGATATTCATCTGAAGGAGTAAACTACAAAGTACCTTATCTTTGCAATGAACTCCTGAATCTGTATCCCGAGCCCTAAATTTTCTCCAATATATCCTAAACATCAAAATGGACAGTCTCCTTGGATGATCCACTCTACACAATAACAAGAGAGCCGTTTTTAAAAATTTTTTTTCATGAGAGCATTCCTCCTTGTAAAACTATTCTATTGACATCCTGTCAACAAATCATGTAATCACTTCCTTCCTGATTTCCCTTTCCTTCAGTAATCAAAAAGTACAGGCTACATGAGTGGGTGCTATGGAGCTAGTTTAAGGCAACAGGGATTGCTAAGGAATAGATGACCCTCAGCTCCAGACAACAATTAATCAGGTGAGAACGTGATAGCCCATTCTCCAATAATCCAAAAAGAGAAAGAAATTCTGATTGTTAGGAGAGATCTTCTGATTTTTAAGAGAACATGTTGGTCAAAGAAAACATCTGCAGGTCACCCACAGACAATCCCTGACCCCCCGACTTAAGCAGTCTCCATCATTCTGATTCAGGCTCCCCGTCTATTCTACACATCACTGAATGATCATTTTCCAAGCACACTGCTCCTGGGCTGGGGATGTAGCCCAGTGGTAGAGTGCTTGCCTAACGTGTAAAGTCCTGGGTTCCATCCCCAGACACTGGAGGGAAACAATAATAATTTCTTTTTGCTCCTGACCACTACTAACTTGAAAAGCATAAATATTACCGCAAAAATCCCAAATCTTCATGTCGTCATTCAACGTTCACAGTAACACAACCACCTTCACCTTCAACTTCCCTACGCAAACCTCACATTTAAATCAAAGGAGTCCACCCCTCTTCCATCTCACCCCCCAACCGGTTGTATCCCCACCAAGATGGCCTCCTTCTTTACCCCATCAAAGCCCACATTTGGCTCAGGAAACAACCCTTTGGAAGTAGACCCTCCAACACCTGCTAACCGGCTGGTTCAACTGCGTGAGTCAAGACACCTCTCTGATCAAAGCCAACAGGATTTAACTTTCAAGAAGGGATTTAAATCCCCCAGAAGACAAATCCTATGGCCTTGTCTCGATTTCCCCACCCCAAATAACATTTTTAACAAGCGCAATGAGCCTCAAGTCGTGCAGAAAGGAGCCTCCTGTCGGAGAAGGCTCTGCGGGGTCTCGAGTCTCCTCACCCAGGAAGGCCTCAGGGAGGTGGGGGATGCCCCAACCAGCCCTGCGAAGCAGGCAGCCGTGCGCAATCTCTGCGCGCTCCTCCTTACGCCCCCAGGATACCATCCCCATCCCGATCCACAGCCGTGCCCTGCAATGGCCCTGGAGGACCTTCAGTGCTGCCCAGGCCCAATGCTCTCGGCCGCGACAAAGGGTCAGAGAGCCGGACCACCCCGCTGCGCGCGCTTCCCGCGGGCCTCCGCTGCCGGGGCCGCGCCCACCCGGACGCTGCTGCTACCTTGTCCTCAGGCGGTGCGTCCGGCTCGCGAACCGCTCTCTGCCTCAGCTCCGTCATGCTGGAGATCCCGGCGCGACGTAGCCACTGGCGAGCAGCGCAGCCGCCGGAGCGTGCAGCTCAGCTCGAGCACGCGCGGACTCCTTCGGCCAAGCTCGCTCGCTCGCCCGCCCGAGCGGTCCGCAGCTCAGCAGCGGCTCGCAGGCCCCTCCGCAGCCCGGTCGCCAGCCCTGGAGCTCCGCCCAGCTTCTCCGCGGCTCTTCCACCGGAGCCGAGAGGACCCGGCCTTCCCGATCGCTCCTCCTCCAGGGAAGAGTTTCGGAGAGAGCGCGCACGCGCACAGCCGCCATCTCGGCCCGGGAGATCCGCCAATAGCGGGAACACACTAGGCAGGCGGGGCAGCGGGGCAACGGGGCGGGGCGGAGCGGAACGGAGCAGAGAGACGCGCATTGGACAGCACCATAAGGGGGCGGAGAAAACGTGCCTTTCAGAGCGAGATTAGCCAATGGAAACTCCCGCCTAACCGCGAATGTACCTGTTCCGGCGTTCTAGGTCCTGAAAGTAAATGGTTATTGAGGGCAAGAAGCGCCCCCCAGAGGGTCTAGCCCGCAAGAATTCTCTGCGCGGGGGTTCCTGGCTTACTTCAGAACCCATTTGTCAAACCTTAAGTGGTGAGGCTTCGTGAGCCAACCTGGTTTCGAGGAGGGAATCACGTGAAAATAAAGTGAAACCCAAACTGAAGTCTGTCGTGCATTGCTAAGCAGTCTCTAGGTATGCACTGAGCTGAGTGGGCTATAGTTGGTTTATCTTGTTTAAGCCACACGTCACTTGGCAATGGATGTGATTTTCATTTTACAAGTAAGATCATCTTCAGTGTTTCAAATTTGTAATGAGGTTTTGGTCTTGGTTTTGGTCCTGGGGAATGAACACAGGGCCTACTGAATGTTAAACTTAGGCTATATTGTTGAGCTATCCCCTCAGCCACTGGATTGTTGTTAAGACCAGTTTGCCTTTTTTTTTTTTTTTTTTAACTGAGGGTCCCCTATGTACCTGACACATCCCAAATACTTTTAAATTTTTTTTAATTGTTGATGGACCCTTATTTAATTCATTTATTTATATCCGGTGTTGAGAATCGAACCCAGTACCTTACATATGCAAGGCAAGTCCTCTACCGCTGAGCCACAACCCCAGCCCCCTAAATATTTTTTGAGTGGAATTAAAACTTATGAAGGAAAATGACTTAACCAAGGCCTACCTGGTAGAAAATGCCTAGTAAGAAATACAATTCAGAATACAAGCTAACCAATGTACATACTGCCTGCCTGAATTCATAAATAGCTGTGTTGCTTGGGCATCACCTTCTATGCTTCCTACTTGCTTCTTTGCAAACAACGCAAAACACGAGTTCTCTATCCTTAATCGTATTGTAATCTAACAATGAGGAAAAACTTGCCTTAGAGAAGTTTCAATTTTCTGTTTATAATTTTGACCTGAGCTGTGTGGCATTTGGGGAAAGAAATTGAAGTGGTAACTCCTTCCTAGATGTTTCTTTTTTATCTCTGTTAATAACTGCAACCTGCTAGTTTACTTCTGTATTCATGCTTGCTCAGCAGCTGTGGCAGGAACCACAGCTACTTGAAAGAGTGAAAGAAATCAAGGCTACTTGCATGGGGAAGTCTTGAAACCTGGTAGGATGTACTGTAAAAAAGATAATGAGAACAAAGAACTGTCTTCAGCCTTGAAAAAGACTCCACTGAGCCCACACCAGTGCTGAATAAACCTTGCACTTCTATATACTTCCAAGGGCCACTTGTCTCTTTCCAATGCCATAAAGATTTTCCATATTTTCAGTAACAAAATGAGAATTCTGGGGCTGGGGATGTGGCTCAAGTGGTAGCGCGCTCCTCTAGCATGCTGGCGGCCCAGGTTCAATCCTCAGCACCACATACCAACAAAGATGTTGTGTCCGCGGATAACTAAAAAATAAATATTAAAAAAGAAACCAAAATGAGAATTCTGAAAAAGGCATTATAAAATCCTGATTTCTTTCCCCTCTGCCCCCATTCTGCCTCCTGGAGATTAAACCAGGCAAAAGCCCTACCACTGAGCTACTTCCCCCTTCCCTAGCCCTCCTCCCCTACTACCTTTCACTTTTTGACAAAGGGGCTCCAGAATTGCCCAGAGTGGCCTCCAACTTGCAATCCTCCTGCCTCAGCCTCCCACATAGTTGGTATTACAGGCATGAGCCACCAAAACCATCACATATTCCTGATCTCCATAAGAGTATATTCCCCAGGGGCTGGGGCTATAGCTCAGTGGTAAAGTGCTTCGACCCTCAGCACCACATCAAAATAAATAAAGATATTGTATATTCATCTACAACAAAATTAATATTTTTTTAAAAAAGACTATATTCCCCCAATTTTTGAAACAGTGCTTTTAACAAATTTGAAGGTGCCCTGAACTCTGAACTTTGTTTTCTATTTTAAAACGTTGCACAACTACTAGAATAGTGTTTTGTTTGTTTATTATACTGGGATCAAACCCAGGTCCACTCTTCCACTGAGCTACATCCTCAGTCCTTTTTGTAAAAGTTTTGTTTTGAGACTCATGAGGCTGAAGCAGGAGATTTCCAAGTTCGAAGTTAGGCTCAGCAGTTTAGTGAGGCCCAAAGCAATTTAGCAAGACTTTGTCTCCAAATTTAAAAAAATTAAAGGACTGGGGATACAGCTCAGCAGTAAACCACTCCTGGGTTCACTCCCCAGTACAAAAAAAAAAAAGTTTATTTTGAGACAGGTCTTGCTAATTTGTCCAGACTGGCTTGAATTTGGACACTTGTGCCTTAGCCTCCCCAATACTTGAGACTACAACATACACCAACATACCCCAAATTTGATTTCTTTTCTGTTCCTTAAATTAACTCTTTTCTTGAAAGTTGTTTCTTCCAGGTTTGTGGCATATCTTGCACACAGTGATTTCATTATACTCCTTGTTTAGTTCCATTACTGTTAAATACTGTGTTAACAAAAATAACTAGCATGGGATTCTTAATCCCCAGAATGTTCAGACTGATTGTAAATGGGTAGCTACTGCTATAATTAATTTTATTTCATGATAAAAACAACTCCCCTCATCTTAATATCTGAAAACTGCAATGGTACAAGTGACATGAAAATTCTTCAGTTTCAAGAATAATGATATCCTTTCTCTTAGAGGGGAAAACTTATCAAAAATAATTTCTTTAAACTGTACATTTATTTAAAAATTGTGGAAAGGGCTATTGATATAACTCAGTGATAGAGCGCTTCTCTAACATGCACAAGGTCCCCCACCAACTCAAAAAAAAAAAAAAAGTTGAAAAACAAAACAGCCTTAACCTGCTTTTTCTAGCTTATCATATTGCCTTTTTATTTATCACAGTTTGACAAGTGTTCTCAGATAACTAAAACTTATCCAATTTAATAAAATGACATGCAACATTGAATTGAGAATAGGCAGAATTGTCAAGGCTTCAGGACTGGGGATGTGGTTCAGTGGTAGAGCACTTATCTAGCATGTTCAAGGCCCTGGGTTCATTCACAACACTGAAAAAAATAATCTTCAAAAAATACAAATCCTGTACTTCCATGATCTTACAAGCCTACTAGATTATTAAGTAACTGTATATTATGTATTAGTCTTCTCTCTAATAAGCAAGCTTTTACTTTTTCTAACCAATAAGTCTAGAGGCTCTAAGCACAAATATTTACCTATTTATCACAAATGCTGTAAGAGTACTTTTTGCGGGGGGTACTGGCAATTAAACCCAGGAGTACTTTATTACTGAGCTACACCCCCAGTCTGTTTTATTTTTTAAATTTTCTTTTCTCTTTTTTTTTTTTTTTTTTTGTGTGTGTGTGTGTGTGTGTGTGTTACCAGGGATTGATCCCAGAGGTACTTAACCACTGAGCCACATCCCCAGCCATTTTTATATTTTGTTTAGAGACAGGGTTTCTCAAAGTTGCTTAGGGCCTCACTAAGTTGCTGAGGTTGACCTTGAACTCAAAATCCTCCTGCCTCAACCTCCCCAGCCACTGGGATTACATGTGTTTGCCATGGCATCCAGCTACTTTTTAAAGTTTTGAGACAGGGACTTGCTAAATTGCCAAGTCTGGTCTTAAACTTGTCATTCTTCTGCTTCAGCCTCCTGAATTGCAGGTATTACAGGCATGCACCACAGTGCCTGGCTATAATAGTAGTTTTTTAATCCTGATTATTCATTAGGATTACCTGGGCAGCTTCTAAAAATTACTGTTGGAAGGACCACCCCAGCTCAATTTGAGAATTTCTGGAGACCAAAGGGGAATAGACTTTTTGAAAAACACCCCTAGGTAAGTCTAATGTGCAATAAGGATTGAGAATGACTACTATATGATCTTAATTTTTGAAGAAATTTGACAGGGGCTGGGGATGTGGCTCAGTGGTAGAGTGCTCCCCTAGCATGCATGAGGCACTGGGTTCCATCCTCAGCACCACATAAAAATAAAGATACTGTGTCCACCTAAAAAAAAATTTAAAAAGAAAAGAAATTTGAAAGAAACTACATAAAATATTTTACAGCATTTTTCTCCCAAAATTCATTAATATTTCCACAGTGTAGAAAATATGCCAGGTTTAGTGGCACACGACTGTGATCTCAGTGGCTTGGGAGTCTGAAGCAGAAGGATTATAGGTTCCAGGCAAACTTCAGCAATTTACCAAGACCCTAAGCATGTTCGGTAGTTAAGCATCCCTGGCTCAATCCCCAGTACCAAAAATAAATAAATAATAAGAAATCATAAGAAAGGCTTCAGATGTCACTCAGTGGTAAAGTACCCCTAGGTTCAATCCCTAGTACCAATAATAATAATAATAACAAATAAATAAAACTTAAAAAGTGTAGAAAATACAGAAAAGCATAATGGGAAAAACCAAAATTACTCGTAGTATCATCAGCCACAGATAATTGCTGTCAATATTTATATTCTTGGAGCTGGAGCTGTACCACAGTGGTAGAGCATCTGCCTTGACGTGTGAGGCACTGGGTTTGATCCTCAGCACCACATAAAAATAAATAAAGCTATTGTGTCCATCTACAACTAAAATTTTTTTTGAATATTTATATTCTTACCTTTCCATTCCATTTTCTATGCACATATATAGAGATAATAACAGTTTCAGAAAATTAGAAAACCTTTATTTATGTTGTTTTATAACATGAATTTTCTCTTTATCCTTAAATGCTTTTTAAGAATGGTAATTTAAAGGCTGGGTAATACTCCGTCTTACAGATTTACCTGCTAACAAAAGCAAAT